TGCCTAATGCCTGCACAATAGCACACAAATTAAAGCAACTAAGACATTTTCACATGATGAAGCATCTCATAAAAAACCAGAATGATTCTACTCACTTTCTCTACAAAAAGAATGAAAGACGCCAACATTTGATAGATCAAATAAGCAAAGTTTGGCATCTAACACGCAACCATTGTTCAAGATGACTTTGACTCATCTGATGTTCTTGTGGTTTCAAGTGGCGACTCAAGAAAAGAGTGGATTATGGATTCAGGTTGCACTTTGCTCATGACTCCAAACAGAAAATTGTTCGAGGAGCTATGTGTTCAAGATGGTGGATTGGTGCTGCTGGGAAACAAAAAATCTTGCAAAATTGCAGTTATTGAATCTGTGAGATTCAAGCTCCATGATAAGTCAATAAGGTTATTGACTGAAGTTAGGTATGTACCTAATTTGAAGAGAAACTTGATTTCTCTTGGTGAATTCGACAGAAAGCGATATGTTTTTCAAGGAGAGAAAAGTATCCTAAGAGTCATGAAGGGGTCGAAGAAAGTCTTGAGAGGCGTGAAGAAACAAGGCTTGTATACCCTTGAGGATGAGGTTGTAAGTGGTTCGAAAAATGTTACATCCACGAAACCTGTGTCGAAGACAAAATTATGGCACATGAGATTGGGCCATATCAGCAAAAAAGGTCTGGTCGAATTGGTGAAGCAGAATCTGCTAGGAGGTGACAAAGTTGAAAAGTTGGAGTTTTGTGAATCTTGTGTATTTGGTAAATCCTGTAGGGCGAAGTTTACCAAAGGAAAGCAAAGAACACATGGATCTCTGGATTACATTCATGCTGATCTTTGGAGGCCTGCAAGGAATCCTTCATACTCAGGTGCAAGGTATTTTCTATCCATCGTTGATGACTATTCCAGAAAGCTATGGGTATTCATCCAGAAGACGAAGGATGAAACCTTTTAGAATTTTAAAAGTTGGAAGGTTCTAGTCAAAACTCAAACTGGCAGAAAGGCTAAGAGGTTGAAAACCGACAATGGCCTTGAGTTTTGTAACGAAGCGTTCGACAGTTACTGTGTTGATTCTGGGATTGCAAGGCATAAGACTGTAGCAGGTACTCCTCAACAAAATGGCTTAGCTGAGATATCCAATCGAACAATCCTTGAAAGGATTAGATGCGTGTTGATTAGCACTGGATTGAAAAATGTGTTTTAGGTAGAGGTTGTTTCAACAACAGCTTATCTGATAAATAGATGTCCCTCGATTGCCTTGGGAATAAAGACACCTGAAGAAGTTAGGTCGGGACATCCACCTAGTCTCGACAGACTGAGAGTATTTGGCTGCATGGCCTATGATCACATTAGGCAAGACAAGGTCGAACATAGAGCTCTGAAATGTATGTTCATGGGATACCCTGAAGGAGTCAAAGCTTATAGGTGCCTAGAGCCAGGTCACAGGAGGTGTATCACCAGTCGAGATGTAGTTTTCGATGAAGCAGATATGGCTTTTAAGAAAACTGATGATGCTGGTGAAGAGCTGGAACATGGAGAGATTTCTGTTAAGGTGAAGCATGTTGATGCTGAATTGCGTATCCCAGATGAAGTCGAAGAAGATGCAGAAGATGTTGTCGAAGATGAGGAGACTGATAATGACTACATGCTAGCAAGAGACAGGTTGAGGAGAGTCAACAACCCACCTCGGAGACTAGGGTATGCAGATCTTATAGCTTATGCCTTAATCTCTGCAAGTGAGGTTCTAGACGAAGAACCTAGAGACTATAAGGAAGTTATAAGGAGACTATAAGGAAGTTATGAGGATTTGAAAAAAGATTGAATGGTTGAAGGCCATGGATGATGAGATGAAATCTCTTCATGATAACAACACCTGGGAACTGATCAAGAAACCTGTTGGAGCCAGGTTAGTCAGCTATAAATGGATTTTTAAAGTTAAGGAAGGAATCAAAGGAGTGGCGTCAAAGAGATACAAGGCAAGATTGGTCGCCAGGGGTTCACTCAAAAAGAAGGTGTTGACTTCAATAATGTGTTCTCTCCTGTTGTGAAGCACAGATCCATTCGAATGTTGCTTGCCACGGTGACCCAGTTTGACCTTGAACTAGAACAGATGGATGTGAAGACTGTGTTCTTGTATGGTGATTTAGATGAAACAATCCTGATGAGGCAACCTGAAGGGTATATCGAAAAAGGGAAGGAAGATTATGTGTGCAAGCTGAATAGATCCTTATATGGACCGAAACAATCTTCTTAACAATGGAATAGGAGATTCGATAAGTTCATGGCACGCATAAGTTTCATCAGAAGCCATTTCGACTACTGTGTTTACTTAAGATTTCGACCGGGTAATTCATTTGTTATTTTGTTGCTCTATGTGGATGATATTCTAATAGCAAACAGTAATGTCAAATAGGTAATGAGGGTGAAGGCTGAATTCAATAAGGAGTTCAACATGAAGGATCTGGGAGATGTGTACAGGATTCTTGGGATTGACATCCGAAGAGATAGAAAGCAGTCGAAACTATGCTTATCTCAAGAGGCATACCTGCGGAAGATTCTCGAAAAGTATGGTATGTCGAATTCAAAGCCTGTTGTGACTCCGACAAACCCTCAATTCAAGTTGAGTATAGATCAGTGTCCCACCACTGATGCTGAAAGAGCTTATATGAATAGAATTCCATATGCTTTTATAGTGGGTTCCGTGATGTATTCTATGATATGTACTAAACTCGACATAACATATTCAGTAAGTCTTGTAAGCAGGTACATGGAGAATCCTGGAAAGGCTCACTGGCAAGCATTGAAGTGGATTCTAAGGTACATAAATGGGTCTCTGAATAGAGTCCTAATTTATGGTGGAGCCTTGGGGGAAGATAGTAAAGCAGTAATCGAAGGATATGTCGACTCTGGTTATGCATGTTGTATGGATTCCAGAAAATTTATTTATGGATATGTGTTCACTATGTTTGGGACAACAATCAGTTAGAAAGCAACACTTCAGAATGTTGTTGCCTTATCAACCACTGAAGTGGAATATATCGCCCTAATTGAAGCTGCGAAGGAAGCATTGTGGCTTGAAGGTTTTGCAAAGGAGTTGAAACTTCAAGATCGAGTTATCACTGTTAAATCTGATAGTCAAAGTGCAATACACATGTCGAAGTATTCAGCCTATCATGAGTGAACCAAACACATTGATGTGAGGCTGCATTTCGTTAGAGGGGTAATCGAGCGTGGAGAAGTCCAAGTGCTGAAGGTTTTGACAGATCATAATGCTGCTGATATGATTACCAAGACGTTGCCCAGTTGCATGTTTTTCCACTGTATGCAGTTGATAAAGCTACATGAAGAAAGCTAGTTTCTTGATGTTATAGAGTTAGATCCAAGGTGGAGATTTGTGAGATATTGGATTGAACTCTAGTATGGCCGAAGTTTGTTCACGAGTAATGCGTGTAGTAGTTGAAGTTTGTTCTAACATGCATTAGTCAATATTGCTAGATTTGTTAGCATGTTGAATTGGGCCTTGTAAGCCCAATTGTTTAAGTTAGCTTGTACCCTAAATTAACTTGTAATGGATAATTGTTAAAAAAGCCCATTAGGTTAGTGTGCTAATTTTCTTATAAATAGCATGCTAGTCTCTCATCTTGAAAAAGGGGGAAATAGAAAGATAAAATCATAATTCAAGTGAGAGAGATTATTTGTTATTCTTGTATACTTGTAATCTTGTTCAAAGAGAAAGGAAAGAATAGCAGTTTGTAACCAATCTTTGTTATTTTACCTTGTTTTCTTTGTTAACCCTAACCCTTGTGTGTTTCTTGTCTATAAAAAAAATGTTTATATTTTGTTTCAAGACATCCTATTCACAGCAATTCCTTTGTCTGATTATGGTATTTTTTATCCGCTTTCACAAACTTTCCAATAATATCTCCAATTTTCCCCACGACATCTGGCCTTATTTTAATCTCAATAGTATCTCCAATTTTTTCCCATGACAACCGATTTTATTTTAAGGAGAACGTCATGTATACATATCCAGACAAGAATAGAATGAAATCCAATTTTGATGGTTGTTCTTCACCTAAAATCATATCAAAAATGAAGAGATTACGATCAATTTCTCAAAGCCTATTTCAAGGATGTAAATCGCGTCTTTCTAAGAACATATTTGAAGACAAACAAATTCATACTCAAATCTTAAATATCTATTGGGTTCATGAGCCATCATGCATGGGTCATCATTTGCTTAAAAGCACTACCACTATAGAGATATATGTCCACATCTTCCCTAAAATAGTACAATTGAATGTTTTTCCTCACACTCTAACACAAAGTCTACTTCCAATCCTTATTAAACAACATATACTATATATATAAAAAAAATTTAAAAAAAGAAAAGAAAAGAGTATAACATCACATATCGAATTTTTTTTTTATAATAATCATATATTAAAAAGAAATTATCAGAATAATCATTAATTCAAAAAAAAATTTAAAATGGCTATGTATTCAACACCAGGTCACCATTCAGATTGGTGAATGAGACCATTTGGAATTTGGGAGAAAGGGAATTTGTCAGGTGAAATGGCGAATGAGATCATTTGAAATTTTGGAGAAATATTTATATTTACTAAAAACTAATCAAAGTATATATTTTAGAGAAAAATCCAAATGGCCTCATTCGCCATTTCACCTGACGAATTCTCTTTCTCCAAAATTCCAAATAGTCTCATTCGTCAATCTAAATGGCGACCTGATTTTGAATACATAGCCATTTTAAAAAAAAAATTAAATTAATGATTATTCTGGTAATTTCTTTTTAATATATGGTTATTATAAAAAAAATTCTCACATATCTCTATATTAAACTTCAAATATATTAACATATAACTAAACTATATAAGATATTCTTCTAAACAACCCCAACCAAGACATAATAACAATTTCATAAACCCGTTCTATATACCCTCCAAAATTTTCCTAAGATTCTGAACATCCACTTCAGTTTCCAAGGACTTAACCCTGCTTTCTTTTCCCTTCACATTGATCAGATTCCAGTTTCTCAATTTTGTCCTTCAACGCACCAATCTCTTCCTTCAACGCCTTGTTCTCCAATGCACCGACGCTTTTACTGCTCTCAAAACTTCGATTTTGATTCTTAATACTCTCCATAGATTTCCTAAGAACCCGAATCTCTCTAATGTAGTGATGCAATCTATCTATAACCAAAGAGAGGAACAAAACAAACCCTATCCACAAAGAACAAATTAGAAACAGAATAAATAAATAAAAATAAAAGTGAAAAGTTTATAATTAACTACCCAAAAGAGAAGCTTGTAGCAGGTGGTTGGACAATAGTACTTGTTCGGTAGGATCAATATTAGAAACACTTTCTATAAAGCGACAACGAATCTCATAAATACTATAGAGTGCAGAACCGAGCATCACCACCACCGTGGCGGTGACGGTTTTAACGACCACCGGTCCACGGCCGCGCTTGACGGTGTTCAACGCCATGATCACGAGCTTCCTTATCGGTGTCTTGAAGAGAAAACTCATAATCATTAACATTTCTGCAAATATAACGGCATACAATAGCTGCAACATTTTCGTTTGTTTCTACGTGTTATTCTAACTAGAATTTATTAGGATGCAAATGTGAATAAATAATAAGTGGAGTCTTATTTTTAATTGGAAATAAATAATTGAAGTCCTATTTATTATTGTTATTAGAGTTGAGATTTGAGCGCGTGAGTTCAGTGTGCGTGTGGTGTTGAGGAATAATAATCATAGTCGACAATCGACATAGATGTTGTTATTATGGTTGTTGGTTGTGTGTGTGTAGGAAGTGTATGAGAGTGGTGGTAGTAGTAAGTCTTTTTTTTTTATACGACTTTATTAGAAAAACGGTTGGAGTATTGTTTAAAAATATTTTTTCGATAACAAAAGTCTTTTTTTAATTCCTCCAAAAAATCAGAATGGAATGGAAACATGGAACAAAACGATGTTATTTTAGTGACGCGGATACTTATATATTTAATATTAATAAATACATAATAGTTAAAAACAAAAATAAATTATTCAAAATTTATGAAGTGTTCATAATTAAAAATAAAAAGCATAAGTCTTAAATAAAACATACATTTAAATGTCAATAAAATTTTTTTAAAAATAACAAACACTTAATTAAAGCCTCTAATAAAATTATCATAAAAATTCAAATCTTCATCATTACTACCACTATATTTGTCTTCCTCTACTTTCTTTTTGTTCTCTATTTTCTCTCCATCTAACCAAGATAAAATAAATCATCACCATAAATAATTAAATCTGATTAAGCTTTATGTTCACCGACTTCATCTCTCAATAACCATTCATTACTAATTACAATATCATCCGTGATTATAGGATCAATCACATCTTCACTTTCATAACGTTCTTTCAAGATCAGATTATACTTGATGAAACTAAATCTTACAACTTCTTATACTCTAAATTATTCCATCTCAGTGGTTGAGAATTAAAAGGTGTGGTCGTAACTGTCTAAAAAAATTGAATGAGTAAAGAAAAAAAATAATAAAATAATAAAATAGTAAAACAAAAATATTGATGAACAATGACGAAAATAAAATAGTAAAATAGGGAAAAAGACATAAGAAAAATATAAATAAAATATTAACTAATGAAAATAATGAAAAAAACACTAGAGAGAGATGTCTTGAGCATCCGAAAAGTATCTAATATAAGAATAATATTAAAAAATTATTAACTAAAAAATAAAAAAAAATAAAACAAAAGAAAGAACATATAAAAAAGAAAGAATTAAAACAGAAGAAAAAGAAAGAAATAAAAAAGAAAGAAAAAAGGAACATATCTTTCTATGAAAGAGAGAAGAGAAGGTCATTGAGAGAAGAGAGAGAAAAATGTTGCTTAATGATGTGTGTTATTAGAATATTAATAGTAATTCATATTTATTTAGTTGTACTATTTTCCTTGACCCCTAAGTTTGTTAGAGGGTATTTTAGTATTTTATCTTATTCTAGTAACCCTAGTTTTAGCTTATAAATAGGGTGACAATCATTGTAACTTTTAATCATGTTTTTGTAGCCGTCATTCTTAATAGAATATTTCCTTTGTTCATCATTTATTCACCTTTGCACCAACAATTGGTATCTAGAGCTCCGGTTCGGATTCATTGGGAAACACGAGTGAACGTGAGGTCTTGTGTGTTTGATTTTGATTCTTAGATTCGTGTTGAATCTTGAACAAAATCTGATCAGAATTTTATTCTGTGGGTTGGGAAACACTGTGTGAGAAATCTGAGTGTATTGTGCAAGGTGAAGATGAACGGAAACGGCAACATGAACACCAAGCTTCTAGTATTTGACGGTAAAAACTGGAATCGTTGGATGATCCAAATGCGTGTACTGTTTGGTGCTCAAGATGTTTTAGATCTTGTCACTGATGGTTATGTTCCGGTAGCAGCAGATGCAACGGATGAACAGAAAAACGCGCAGAAGGAAGTAAGGAAGAAGGATCAGAAAGCATTATTCTTTATTCATCAATGTGTTGATGTAAATGTGTTTGAGAAGATTGCAGATCAACGACAGCAAAGGCTGCGTGGGACACACTGGTTAGATGTTATGGTGGTGACGCATCAGTGAAGAAGGTGAAGCTTCAGTCCTTGAGAAAGCAATATGAGAATCTCAACATGAAGAATAATGAGAAAGTTTATGAATACATCTCCAGAGTGATTCTGATCACTAATGAGATGAAGGCGTGTGGAGAAACTCTTTCTGAAGAAACAATCATGGAGAAGGTATTGAGATCCCTTACCTCTCAATTTGATTACATTGTGGTAGCAATAGAACATTCCAAAGATCTGAGTACCATGAGAATTGAAGAGCTGCAGAGCAGTTTAGAAGCGCAAGAGTTGCGTTTGACTAAGAGAACTTCTGAAAGGGAAGTAGAGCAGCAGGCTCTGAAAGCAACTTCTGATAGGAGGTATCAGAAGCAGTCAGAAGCCAAGAGAAGATCTGATGGTGGTCAGAAGTCAGAAAGCTCAATCTCTGATAGGCAGAAGAATGCTCATAAGGGAAAAGAGAAGTATGACAAGAAGAAGATCCAATGTTACTGTTGTAAGAAGTTTGGTCACTTTGCTAGAGATTGTTGGTCAAACAAGGAGAAGAAATCAGAAGAAGCAAATATAGCCAGAAGTTCTGATGACGAATCTGTGCTATTGATGGCTTCTGAATCTGATAATATGGATCTGATAGACTGGTGGTATATGGACACTGACTGTTCAAATCATCTTACTGGAAACAAGAAATGGCTGGTTGACTTTGACTCTGAAAAGAGAACAAAGATCAGATGTGTTGATGATAAATATCTTAATGCAGAAGGTATGGGAAATGTCAGAGTGATTCTGAACAATGGGAAAACAGCATTGATTCAGAACGTGTGGTATGTACCTGGCATTAGAAGCAATCTGATGAGTGTGGGACAATTAATTGAGAAAGGTTTTTCAGTTACCATGAAGGATAATCTTCTGAAGTTGTATGACTGCAATCAGAAGTTGATTATGGAGCCAGAACAGGGAAGGAATAGAACATTCAAGGTGAATGTCAGAACTGCAGACTCAGAATGTCTTAGTGCAACATGTGCTGAGAAGGAGAGTGAGCTGTGGCACAGAAGATTTGGTCATTTGAATTTCAGAAGCCTAAAACATCTGAATTCAAAGAAGCTGGTACATGGAATTCCTGCAATTAAGAAGCCTGAGAAGTCATGCAAAGTTTGCATGGAAGGAAAACAACCACGTTTGCCATTTGCGTCAGAAGTTGCTCCAAGAGCAAAACATGCCTTGGGAGTTGTACATTCTGATGTGTGTGGTCCATTTCCAGTAGCATCAATTGGAGGGAATAAATACTTTGTGTTATTTGTTGATGAATTCACAAGAATGACATGGGTATCCCTTATTAAGTTCAAACACGAGGTGTTTGATGAATTCAAGAAATTCAGAATGAAGGCTGAGAATCAGAGTGGTCAGAAGTTGAAGATTCTTAGAACTGACGGTGGAGGTGAGTATAACTCCAAAGAGTTCTAGAAGTTCTGTGAGGAGAATGGAATTGAGCATGAGGTTACTGCTCCTTATACCCCTCAACACAATGGTCTTGCTGAAAGAAGAAACCGTACTTTGCTTGATATGGTGAGAAGCATGCTAAAGGAGAAGAAGCTTCCTCAGAAGCTCTGGGGAGAAGCTGTTGCCACTGCAACGTATGTACTCAACATATGTCCTACGAAGAAGTTGAAGGAAATAGTTCCTATGCATAAGTGGACTGGAGACAAGCAAAGTGTTAGTCATCTGAAGGTGTTTGGTTCTGTTTGCTATAAACATGTTCCAGAAGCCAGAAGACAGAAGCTGGATGATAGAAGCAAAGTGATGATTCTGATAGGGTACCACAGTACAGGTGCATACAAGCTCTATTGTCCAGAAACCAATAAAATTGAATTCAGCAGAGATGTGATTGTGAAGGAATCAGAAGTTTGGAATTGGGATAAGTCTCAATCTGATTCTGATGTTAGAACTTCTGAAGAAAGGTCAGAGTTAAGAATTTCTGAAGTTGAAGTAAACTCTGACGTTGATTCTGACTCTGATAGTGATTATGACTCTGGAGAAGACTCAGAAGATGAAAGTGACTCTGATGATCCAGACTCTGATGGTAATCCAGATTCTGGTGGCAATTCAGACTCTGAAGATGGCCAAGACTCTGAAAATATGCCAGATCTTGAAGATGGTCAAAGCTCTAGAGGAAGTCAACCATCTGAAGCTGGAAACTCTGAAGCTCAAGACTCTGAACAAGTTCAGAGACCACAAAGAATCAGAAGCGTTCCCAGAAGATTTGCAGAATTTGACATTCTGCAAGACACTGAAGTAGACTCTGGAGGAGAAGTTATTCAGTGTGCCATGTTAGTAGACTCTGAACCTATAAGTACAGAGGAGGCTCTTAAGCAGAAGCTCTGGCTGAAGGCCATGAAAGAAGAACTTGATGCTATAGAGAGAAACAAGACTTGGAAGCTGACAGAACTTCCAAAAGACAAGAAAGCCATCAGCGTTAGATGGGTTTTCAAGCAGAAGTTAAAGCCAGATGGCTCAATTGGAAAACATAAAGCAAGGTTGGTAGCCAGAGGATTTCTACAAAAACCTGGGCTGGATTACTCTAAAGTGTTTGCACCTGTAGCATGACATGAGACAATCAGAATGGTGATTGCAATAGCTGCTAACAGGAATTGGCCTCTGATGTATTTAGATGTAAAATCTGCATTTCTGAACGGTCCATTAGAAGAAGAAGTTTACGTGTCACAACCTCCTGGATTTGTGAAAAAGAATCAGGAAGGGATGGTGTACAGATTATACAAAGCTCTATATGGATTGAAACAAGCGCCCAGAGCTTGGAATCAGAAGAGATTAATTCATTTTTCAAGAAGCAAGGCTTTCAGAAATGTGAGATGGAGTACGGTGTCTATGTTCAGCATACTTCTTAAGGCAATATGACTCTGGTATGTTTATATGTTGATGATATACTGCTGACTGGGAGTTCTGAACAGGA